GAGGGGCCAGGGCCCTTTCTAGGCCTATTTTGAGGGAGGATTCACTGGGGCCAGGCCTGACGGGTTGCTAGCACCAGGTTGGGAAATTCCTGGAGATTTTGTGATGATGTCTGAGGACAGCAGTGTTTGGAGACGGGAGAGGCCTCAGCGTGGTATAATGCCAGTGTCCACCCACCAAAGCAGCTATTTTCTCCAGGGGGATAGATGTCTGGAGTTCAGTTGTAATTCTGGGGGATCTCCAAGTCCCACCTGGAGGGTGGCAACCAGTATTCCCTCTAAGCTGAGTCAGTGTAAGCCAGCTCGCTGTGTTTTAGCCTCCGGCTCACACATTTTTGTCTCCGCTCAGGAAGGAGGGCTCCAGAGCAAACTGATCTATGCAGCAGCCAAATTGCTCGCTCACAACTTTAATGCCAGGAGCTCACAAAGTAGAATTTCTGCTCACAAGACTCCACAGCTTAGAGGGAGCACTGGTGGCAACCATAGGCCTGGCAGAAACCTCTGGGTGAATTGATATCACCTGACTTGCATGACTCAAGTAGGCCTGGCTGCTTGCTGCTGTTCAACAGCAGCCACCTTAATATATAGAGTGACCGCCCCAATTCTGTTATTTACGAGAACTACGACTCTGTATTTTCAGCACCGAAATTTATTCTATGATTACGAATTTTTTTAGTGTAACATATTGTTTTATATATTTCTATATATATTTACCCCCCATTTTTGTACTATTCTTGCTGGTCTTGGACTGTAGTAATAAAATATATGAATTAGTATAATTAGCCACCCTATGAAAGCCGGTGTGGTGCAGCAGTTAGAGCTTCAGAGTAGGGTCTGTGAGATCCAAGCTCAGATCCCCACTTTGCTGTGGAAGCTGACCGGTAATTTTTGACCAGTCATATACTTTTAGCCTAACCTACCTCACAGGGTTGTTGTGCAGATAAAAAGGAGGAGAGGAGGATAATGTAAGCTGCTTTGGTCCCCACTGTGGAGAAAAAACATAGTTTTCTTAGGCCACGCCCAGCAGGAACTCATTAGCATAATAGGCCACACCCAACAGCAGAAACTCATTAGGATTGGCTACATTAGGGGTGTGTGGCCTAACATGCAAAGGAGTTCCTGCTACAAAAAAAGGGAGGGAGGCGACGGAAAGCTGAAGACAGAGGGGCAGATAAAAGTAGGTTGGCTGTTAGGTTGGAAGGAGATAGGGTTGCCAACTCCAGGTTAGGAAACTCCTGGAGATTTCAAGGGTAGAGCCTGGGGGTGGTGGGGTTTAATAAGGGGAAGGATCTCAGACAGGTATATTGCCATAGACTTACACCTTCCAAAGCAGCCATTTCCTCCAGGGGAACTAGCATTGTCAACCCCGAAGTGAGGGCTAGGGATCACCTGGAATAACAACTGCTCTGCTCTCCCGATGACACAGATCCATTTCCCTGGAGAAAATGGCTGCTTTGGAAAGTGGACTCTATGGCATTATACTCTGCTGGCTGAGTTCGCTTCCACCACCAAATCTCCAAGAATTTCCCAACCTGGAGCTGGCAACCCTAAGGTCTGACTAATCTCTGTAATTGGGAGGAGATCCATTGTGATTCCTGGAGAGCAGCAGCCACTACTGCTGCTGAGGGGGGAAGGGCAGCTGGGAGGGTGATGGGACAGAGAGAGGAAGTGAAAGGCACAAAGGAGAGAGTTAAGAGAACAGATCATAGGAGGGCTATTTTGGGGCAGGAACGGAGTTCCGGCTGGCTCCTGAGTTGGTCACGCCCAGCAGGAACTCATTAGCATAATAGGCCACACCCAACAGCAGAAACTCATTAGGATTGGCTACATTAGGGGTGTGTGGCCTAACATGCAAAGGAGTTCCTGCTACAAAAAAAGCCCTGGGTTTTGACAACAAACAAGGTAAACAGAATAAGAAGCAAAAGGTGGGTGTGGCCGGATGACCACACTTTTGGTAACATGGGGGTGTGGCCTAATGGGCTAATGAGCTGTGCTGTCAGGGGAGTGGCCTAATATGCTAATGAGTTTCTGCTGTTGGGTGTGGCCTATTATGCTAATGAGTTCCTGCTGGGCTTTTTCTACAAAAAGAGCCCTGGCCCGAGGGAGAAAGAGTCGGAGACAGAGAAGTAGGGGGAGGAGAGAGAGAGAGAGAGAGAGAGAGAGAGAGGGAGGGAGGGAGGGAGGGAGGAAGCAAAGGTGGTGGTGGGGGATGTGATAGCCACTCCCACAAGTTTCTTGCAGGTTCCCACTTGTTACAACTAATCTCCAGAAGACAGAAATCAGTTCCCCTGGAGAAAATGGCTGCTTTGGAGGGAGGTTCTATGGCATTATATCCCAGTAAGCTCTCTCCCCTTCCCAAACCATTTCCCTCCCCAGGCTCCACTCACAAATCTCCTCCAGGAATGTTTGCAACCCTACTGACTGGCATTGGTACTAAATGCACTGCACTTTCACTTTTCCTTTCCACTGCCTCTGTTTTGGTTTTTTTAACTCACGGTTTCTTTTCTTCCGAATGTCTTCGGCTCTCTGTTTCCAAAGCTCCACCTCTAGGCTTGTTTCCCAGGAAATTAATCACTCCAATGGCTTCTGCTCTGCAGTACACATTTGGCAGTGAAAGGCATAAGAGTTAGTCTTACATTTGTCAGATTTCTGTATTAAAAACTTCCTCCAAGGCACGGTATTGAGTATTGTACAAGGTGGCCTTTCCCTTGCCTTAAAGAACAGCTATCCCCTCGAATGCTCACTGGTATTTAGTGTTCTTTTCAACTCCGTTCATAAAGATATGTCAAATGGAAAGAGCAGGGCTATTTTGGGGCAGGAACGCACAGGAACGGAGTTCTGGCTGGCTCCCAAGTTGGCCATGCCCAGCAGGAACTCATTAGCATAATAGGCCACACCCAACAGCAGAAACTCATTCGGATTGGCTACATTAGGGGTGTGTGGCCTAACATGCAAAGGAGTTCCTACTCCAAAAAAGACCTGGGTTTTGACAACAAACAAGGTAAACAGAATAACAAGCAAAAGGTGGGTGTGGCTGGATAACCACACTTCTGGTAACATGGGGGTGCAGCCTAATGTGCTAATAAGCTGTGCTGTCAGGGGTGTGGCCCAAAATGCTAATGAGTTCCTGCTGTTGGGTGTGACCTATTATGCTAATGAGTTCCTGCTGGGCTTTTTCTACAAAAAGAGCCCTGGAAAGAGTATCAAAACATTGCAGAATGCATACTTCATAACTAGTAAGTATGTTAAATGATTTTTTCTTTCTTTCTCTATTTCCTCATAAGTGTAAAAACAGGAACAGTAGAGCAGTGTTAGGGTGGCAGCCGATGATTAGAACGTTATAATGCCACTACAGCAATCTAGCATTTTTGTTTTTTTGGTGGTGTTTTTTTTTTTTTTTTAAACCCTGGTTGGGAGGCAGCTGCGCAGGGTTAATACAAGGAAAATGGTGCCGATGTGGATGGGATCTTCAAAAATGTGCACCTTCCCTCCCGTATGGTATATAAAAGCACCACAACCCACTCCAGTTTCAGTGCCAAACCAGATCAAATTCTTATTCAAGCATGGCTGTAATGGAACCCAATCTCAAAAACCCATAATCCTCCTTGACTGATTCTTCAGGCTTTGTATATGCCAGTTTTTGAGATTGGGTTCCATTACAGCCATACTTGAATAAGAATTATTCAAAACACGACATCAGGCATCCGGATTACGCGTAGGCTTTTTATGGCTCAGAAAATTTGATGACATGTACTTCAATTTGGACTTTGATATTGCTTCCTTGCTGGAGTAAGACACATGGAAAGACTGTACACTATGCTTCATCACTGTACCTTGGCCAATTGATTTACATTATACTTACTGTATACTTACATGATTATTATATACTTGTTGTCAGTCAGTGGTGTTTCTTTTTGTGCTTCACACATTGCATACATGCGATAGTAGTTTGCACTATGCGGCACATATAAAAGCATTACCCTACATGTAGTATAATTTCACTATGTGACGCTGCACATGGTAGCAGTAGTAGGTGGTGTGTGCAAGGCCATTACCCCTGCATGTGGGTTAGTAATTCTACTTCATGTAAGAAGTAGTTAGTAGTATGTGCAATTTATAAGGGTTTATGTAGAATTCTAGTACATGCACCTTGTACACAGTAGCACTATGTGACATGCACAAGGGCATTACCCTGAGTGTAGGATTATTATTCATATACATCATACATGGTTCATAGTAGGATGTTACTCTGTGTGTACAGTATAACAAGGTTTGAGTCCAGTGGCACCTTTAAGACCAACAAAGTTTTATTTGTGGTATAAGCTTTCATGTGCATGCACACTTAATCAGATAACAGTGTATAGTATGTAATTCTACAGGTACAAAGCATCCACCTTGTGTGTAGGATAAAAATTCTACTATACCTACTCAGTTCATAGTAGCAATATGTGGCATGAAGGATAGTAACTCTCCCAGTACATAATGTGTAAGTGGTTATAGTGAATAACTAGGCAGAGTGAATCGTGTGAGCACAGAGCAGGGGTAACTGGGGGAGTGGAGGGGGGAGACAGTTGCGAATTTCCTGCGTTGTGCAGGTTGTTGGACTAGATGACCCTTGAGGCCGCTTCCAAATTCTGTGTTTCTAATCTGTGGCAGAGCGTTACCCTATGTGTGTAGGACAGTAACTACTACGTGAACCGCCTAGTGTAAGTACTCGGCATGCACAAGGACGCTTACCCTGTGCGTAGCATAATTATTCTACACAGTACTGGGTCGGTGGGGCGTGCAAGGGCGCGCTAATGTTACGTGCGGAAAGTAATCCCATCCGTTGAGGCGGTAGTCGTAAACGTGCGGTTTGTGAGTAAGAGGAGGGCGGCCCTACTCCTCCGCGCCGTCTTTCTCTCCAAGCTCCCCCCACCCCCGTGCGGGCTCCCTACCTCCAGCCTTCCTTCCCCGGGCCCTGCCGCTGCTGTCTGAACTGAGGCCGGCGGGGCACAGCCACCCGCGGAGGCCGAGCGGGAGGAGGAACGCACGCTACCCATCGGGCTCTAAGACCCGGAGGAGGAGGCGGAGGCGGCCCCAGTGGCCTGCCCTGGTGAGGCTGCTCGGCTGTTGACAGCGGGCGAAGCTGGAGGCAGCCGCCGGGCGAGGCACTGCGAGAGGCGCTGGGGCTGCCGCCGCCGCCGCCCCAGCTCGGCATGGCCTTCATGGAGAAGCCGCCGGCTGGGAAAGTGCTGCTCGACGACACCGTGCCGCTGACAGCCGTGATCGAAGCCAGCCAGAGCTTGCATTCGCACACGGTGAGGACTGGGAGGCTGGCGGCGGGCAGGCAGGCAGAGCCGGCAGGAGTGAACCGGGGGTGGGGGTGGTGTCGGGGCAGGCCGGGCCCGGCTGGGCTAGGAAGGGCTGCGAAGAAGCGGGCGAGAAGCACTGGTGGGGGCTGCATGGGGGGGGGGAGGGGGGGTTGCACGTATGGTTGATGTGCGCGTGTGTGGATAACTTGGAGATCCCTGAGGTCCCCACGGGCGGAGGGTTGACTGGAAAACACCCTGGGCTGAGTTGTCGGTCCTTTGCTTTGCACCCTGAGCGGCTCCTGGATGTTATTTGGGGCGAATTTGTGCCGGGGGCTCCTTTAGTAGTGTGTGGAATCCGTTTGCGATGCCAGGGCTTAACCCTAGAGTATATGTGCTCTTGGGAGTGCCTCAGGGCAGGTGCAGAGTGCGCTCTCTAGATCCCAGAGGGTCCCCACGTACCCGGAATTGAGGGGAAAACTAGATCAGAGAGAGGTGCTGTTTCCAGGCAGGCTTGAACCCCTGGCACATCTCCTCCCCGCCACCACCTAGAAGTTAAGCGTTGGTGCAGCCTCTTCTGCGCTTTGCGTCGCCTGAGAGATGTGGGTCCAGAGGAGCCTTGGGGTTGGGGAGGGGGTAAGTGGTAGCAGACTAGTTTTATTGTGGTACAAGGCCTTGTTGGGGAGGCCTGGGGAAGAGAAGTGGATATGAGGTCAGTAGGTGAGTGAGCGGCGAGGGTAATTATTGGGGGCTCACAGTAGTAGGATGATGTGTGGCTTATTTTGGGAAGGGAACTGCAGGGGGAAGCTGGGGGGCTTGTCTGAGGTGTGGTATGTTCTGATAAGGGGACCCTTGGGCTTTTTGGGATGAGACCCACTTTTGCTGGGTCAGGCCAAAGACTCATGTAATCCAGTCATCAGATGTTTCCGGGAAGCTCACAGCAGGCCATAAAAGCAGCAGCCTCCCTTGGCTTTTTAACCCCATTATCTCAGAGATGTAATGACTCTGAATAAGGAATGTGGAAAGGCAAAAAGTGAATAGGGGAAAAATTGCAACACAATCTAGCTTTATATAAACGTATATTATTGGGGCTCACCGTCTAAATCCTGGTATTTCTGTTCTGAAAACTAAACTGGTCAGTAGTAAGCAAATTTGTATGCATATAATCTAGATGTAATCTGCTTTGAGTCTCAGTGAGAGAGGTGGACTGTAAACAAACATATATACATAAAACCATACTTTGCTCGTGTAGATTTTTATCATACCTGGAAGTTGTAGAAGTGTACATTTGTTGCTCTCTTGGGGTTGGGATTTTCTAAGGATGGTGAGGGGGTTAGGTTTTTGATTGCTGTATTTTACTGAAAGTGGTTTTACTGTTCTTATGCTGTTTGATATTTGGGCTCCTTGAACTGCTTCAGATAGTCTTAAGTCTTCTTCACACTTACCTTTGGGGCACCAGGAATAATTTAGAAAGTTGCCCTGTTTGCTGATTTGATGCTGAGAGAATAGGGTCATCATAAATGTCGTTTGTTAAAGGTGATTTTCTTTCTGGAATGGTTTGGATTTGAAACAGTTTTTAATGTATTCATATTGTTCTGACTGCTGTTTAACTACCCTTTGTTGATTGTTTACTGATAGGGAACGATCTGTAATCAGTTGATGTTTTCTCAGTCAGAGCTAGGAGACTGAATATAAATGGAAAATTTATTTGCTGCCTGGGTGGGACCAGTACTCTGCAGGATGGGGTGGATGGGAAAAGGAAGGATTTGGGGACTGTTACAAGTTGTACTTTAGGAATCTGTTTGCCTGTCTTTGGGAATTGTAGCAGTTATGCTATATGCTGCAGGAATCTATTTGCTTCCTTTGTGCTCTGCTGACGTGTTTGTAAATAAACGGAAGACTATAAGCAAGCCATAAGCCACACGCTCATATGGAGGAAACAAAATCCTGGATGTCTCATTGCTTGGGGGAAATTGTGGACTTTTAACAGTACATAACTTGTAAGCCTTGACTTGGATAGCCCAGGCTAGCCAGATCTTGTCAGATCTCAGAAGCTAACTAGGGTCGGCCCTGGCTAGTATTTGGATGGGAGACCTTCAAGGAATACCAGGGTTGTGATGGAGTGGAGGCAGGCAATGACAAACCACTTCTGAACGTCTCTTTCCTTAAAAACCCCATGCGGTCACCATAAGTCAGCTGTGACTTGACGGCCCTTTCCACCATCACCAACTTGTAAGAGATCTACTTGTTCTCTCTCTCTCTCTCTCTCTCTCTCTCTCTCTCTCTCTCTCTCTAGATATAGATAGTTGTGGACATAAGGAAAGTAACACATTACAGAGATGTGGCTGAAAAGGTGTAGGGTTTCAGCCTTGAGTAGAGGGTTGAGAATTCTGAGGATAAGGAGGTTGTTTGGAGCTTAGACTCATTGTTTGAGAACTGTAACCTGACTATCCATGGTGTTCAGGCACACAAAGTATGTGTACAAATTAACATGTGAGCCATGTAAGCAAACCGGAAGGGAACGCTCACAGATTTTAGAAGGCACGTGATGGCAAGTTGCTTATGAGGTCAGTGCTTCAAATTTGTAAATAACTACTTACCCGTTTACCTGCAGCAAATAAGAATTATCTCCAGGCAACTGTACAACGAGATTTTTGTAAACATGAAGAGAATTGGTTATTTAAAAAAAATATTCTGGGTATTAGCATTCAAGTCACAAATCCTCTGCATGGTTAAGTCCCAGTAAACTCAGTGGGCCTTAGTTTTAGGTAAACATGTAAAGGATTGGACTGAAACACAGGCATGGGTTAATAAAAATATTTGTGGGCTAGTAACTTTTGTGGAGTTACTTGCATGACTTACAGATCAGACAATCGCATGCAACATTTTATGGGTTAATTAGCTATTAACCTTTATTTCCTTTCTGTCATGCCCACATGTCTTGGCACACCTTAAAGCCAGGATTAAGTTTGCTTTTTTAACCATCTAGCTAGAAGGGTGTAGGTTATGATAAGAGTCTTTCCCCTTGCATCTTACTATATCTGAGCAGTGTTCCCTCTAAGCTGAGTTAGTGTGAGCTAGCTCACAGTTTAGATTCAAGCTCCTTTTTCATAACTTGACAAAGTTATTTATCAGATCAGTACAGGAAAAGGTTAAACTGGACTAGCTGGATTTAATAACTAACTTCAGTGCATGGTTGTACATAAGTGTTAAAACCAAAGAATGTGGATCTGAACAGATAGTCTCATGGAGGACAACTGGATGGAACTGGTTCAGATAGTTATGAAGTTAGTTGGCTATCTGACTTCTAAGTGAGATTAATATATCAATACTTTTACATCATTGGTCTGACTTTGTAGCCTGTTTATTGATGTTTCAGAGGTGTAAAGCTGTGGGTCTCTGTGTTCTACCTGACTTTGTCACAGATTGGGACTGAAAGTGGGGAAAGAAGAGGCAGAGCCAAGTTTCTTCCCACAACAATAATTTAAAATTGGACTTCCTGCACAAATACTGTATGGGATTGTTGTATCTGTTAAAACACTTTCTATGAACCTTCCAAGTGCCATCTGAAGCAGAGTTACACTACGGTTGCCAACCTCCAGGTGGTAACTGGAGGCCTCCCAGAATTACAACTGCTCTCCAGCTGATCACTTCCCCTTTGGGAAATAGCTGCTTTGGAAGGTGGAAACTATGGCATTATATGCTGCTGAGGTCCCTTCCCAAACTATGCCCTCCCCAAGCTTTGCCCCCCAAATCCACAGGAATTTCCCAGCCAGGAGCTGGCAACCCTAAATTGCATCTTTCTCAGTCCTTCAAAATCAATGGACTTCAAGAGGTATAACTACTTAGGATGACACCTATGGCGTTTTGATTTTGCTAACATCCCTTGAGAGAAGATGAAATAGGAGTTTCTTTTAGATGTGCACAGTGAAAAAAGAATGCTGCTGCATTGCGATTTTGGAGTTGCATTTGGCCACGCAGCTTCAACTTCTCTGCCCTATCCAGAGGTCCTTTCGGGGGGGATTGCGGGGGATCACAGTTCCCCCGGGTGAGGTACGGGGGGTGGGGCACATGACGAAGCCCCACCCCCTGCTTCCGGCCACCCCACTTCCGGCCCTCATTCAGCCAGGAGGAGGCAGGAGAAGAGGGAGGGTAAGTTGCTTCCTCCCTGCCTCTCCCCACCCCTGCCTGCCTGGGGCCAGGGAGGGCCTTTGCGGGGCTTCCTTGCACTCCCGCCGGCCTTGCAGGTCCACTGCCGGGCCCCTCATGGGGCTCGGCAGTGGAGCTGCAAGGCTGGCGGCAGCGGCCGGGACCATTGGGGGCGGGGGGTGTGGCCTTATGACACACTTCCGGTGATATCAGGGTGTGTGGCATATGCTAATGAGTTATGCTAATGAGTTCCCCTAGCTCTTTTTCTACGAAACAACCCCTGGCCCTATCTCTTAGGAAGCAGAGGCAAAACAATTGTATAGGCAAACAGCATGCTTGTAGAAAATATTTTCTAATAAGATGGTACATGGCTTCACTAATTGAACTGCTTACTTGAAACCGTGAAGTGTTCTTAAATGGCTTTTGAAGATGCCTTTATACTGAATCAGGCTCTTGGTCCATCAAAGTCAGTACTGTTTATTCAGACTGGCAGCGGCTGTCCATGGTCTCAGGCAGAGGTCTTTCACATCACCTACTGCCTGGTCATTTTATCTGGAGAGGAGATTGGATTTATACCTTGCCCTTACAATCGCCTTTCCTTCCCCCCAGAACAGGCACCCTGTGAGGTAGGTGGGGCTGAGAGAGCTCTAAGAGAACTGCTCTTGAGATAACAGCTCTGAGTTTATGCTGGAGTAAATTTTGTTAGCCTTTTAAGGTGCCACTGAATTCCTGTTTAGTTCCTGGAAAGTTCTGCTGCTTAGACCCATCGGTCTGTTCTGTGCATCTGCTACCCATCAACCTTTACTCCTGTAAATTAAAACTTGTCTTCATCTTTTTTTATTATTGTTGTCTGGCTTGTC